CCGACGGCATAATTGGCCACTCGTTTGGAGAGATAGCCTGTGCTTACGCTGACGGGTGTCTCAGCACAAGGGATGCGATGATTATCACGTACTTCAGGGGTGCCATCACTGAGAGTGACCCACAGATACCGAGGGGTTTGATGGCAGTCGTGGGGCTGTCGAGGGCTGAGGCGCTCAATGTCTGTCCGAAAGGAGTTTTCGTTGTCTGTAATAACGCTAAAGAGTCTGTAGTCATATCAGGTATGCGTTCAGACAATCGGTGGTTAATAATAATTATTAATGTCTTATAAATTGTGAATTCAATTAAAGGTCCGACAAATGAAATGAAGAAAACAATTGATTCGTTGAATAAAAAGGGATATTTTGCGCGACAGTTAGAGAGCAGTGATATTCCATACCATAGCGAATACCTGCGCTCATCGGCACAGCCTATGGTCGACGCCATCAACCAATACATCCCAAACCCAATACTCAGGTCAAAGAAATGGTTGTCCACTTCAGTGATGGTGTCGGAGCCCAAAGACGTGCGCTTGCGTTACGCGTCGGCCGAGTATTTTGTGCACAACCTAATGCACCCTGTTCAATTTTACGACCGACTCAAACACATACCCACCGGTGCTGTCGTACTGGAGCTGAGCCCGCACTCAGTGTTTGGCAAAGTAATGACCGAATCGGTGGACAATTGTCAATACATTTCGTTGATATCCAAAGACTCTAACCATAAAAATGTGGATCAGTTTCTGTCGGGAATTTCGAAATTATACGAATTGGGTTTCAACCCATCGGTGGAGCGCCTGTACCCACCCATCCAATGGCCGGTCCCTCGAAGCACACCATCGATCAGTTCCCTCTTGAAGTGGGATCACAGCCGAGACCTATCGGTCTATACCCCGAAATGGCCGCAAAATAAGTTACGCTCGGTTTGCGGGGATATGAATGTTGTGGTGAACATCGGGTCCAAGAAAGACGACTACCTGTGCGATCACGTGGTCGACGGCAATAATCTGTTCCCAGCGGCCGGTTATCTGATGCTCGCGTGGCGTCAAATGGCCGCCTCTTATGGCCACACATGGGATAAAGTTCCTGTAATTTTCGAGAAATGCCAGTTCTTGAGGGCGACATTCATCGCACCCGACGTCCCGACCAGACTTACCGTCAAATACTATCAACAAACGGGTATTTGAGATGAATGTTGTCCTTTAATTTGCGCATTATTTCAATTGTCTTTTAATAAACACAATGTTTAGGCGATTATAGTATTTATGAAAACGACAACATGTGTGCCGTCGGTACTGTCCGTCGCGGCGCCGACGATATGCTGACCGAACAGCACCTCATCAGCGATGGACAGCCAGTGGTGTCGGAGTGTGAGTACCGGTTGGACAGGGAGTCCGTTAAGAAAGAGATGCATATCCGGGGCTATGAGTACTCCAAAGGGTTCCAGTCGTTGAAGAATATGCGGACCAATGACTTCCGTCGGGTGTCGGCGGACATCGAGTGGACGGGAAATATGGTTACATTTCTGGACGGTTTGCTACAACTGACCGGTTGTTTGTTTCCCTTCCGGAAACTCGTGGTTCCGGTGATGATCGACGCCATACGTGTCGACCCGAACACACTCTTTGAGGCGCTAAAGAGGAATCGTTTGGCCGATGAAGTGGTGGCCGACTGTCGCGAACAACTCGGCGACAATTGTCTCAACGATTTTACACCCAATCGTGCGGCCGAACGGTTCGCTCACTTCGCCTCCCAATTGCCGGTAGTGTTTGACTCGTCTGTGAATTGTGTGCTCACATACGGCGCTGAAGTGTATAATATGGTCACCGCTCCCATCACTAGGAAAACTGATCCCAATCTAGTTTTAGAGAGATATGAGTTTATTCCCAACGACGACAATACGGCCATCGATGACAGCCATAGGAAACTAGTTATTGATAATATTGAAGTTTGTATTACTTAATGCTCTCTCTCTCTCTCTCTCTCTCTCTCTCTCTCTCTCTCTCTCTCTCTCTCTCTCTCTCTCTCT